AAGCTTTTCAGATGCCAGGCCCAAGAAAGGAAATACATAGTTCCTTCTGTCCAGTCCTTCACTCTAGTCTTTTCTTTCTTTCTAGTCACTGCTCAACTCCTTCCCCAGGTGCGTGCATCTTTAATTAGGCCTGGTCCACCCTTCAGGTACAGACATATGTAAACTGGCATCTACGGTAACTTTTTAGAGCCAAGACAAGGGTATAGACTATTACACAGCCTCTTAATTTACAATTTCAGGAAAACATATTTAACACATGGTTTAAAAACTATTTGTCTCCCCTCTTCCCTTTTTGAATTTCAGATCTTCTCCATCTCAAGTATGTATGGTTACATTCTAATTTCTGCTTGGCATTCTATCCTAATAACTCTGGGTACATCTACATTGCACACTTATTTCAAAATAAGCCATTCTGGAATAGTTATTCAAAAATAGCTTATTTCAAACTAGCACCTCTACACTGCAGGAAAGCCTCAAAATTAGTCCGAGGCAGGCTTCCTGAATGTAGACATGCTATCTCAATTTAGATCCCTGGGAGGAATAACTTAGAATGGCCCTGGTGAAGGGCTATTTCGAAATAGCAGCAATAGAACATCTACACACACCTTATTTTGAAATAGCTATTTTGGAATGGGCGTTATTCCTCATAGAATGAGGTTTACAGATTTCAGAATAAGCCGTCCCTTATTTCGAAATTATTTCGAAATAACAGAATGGCTGTGTATATGCTCGCATTTTTATTTCAAAATAATACTAGTTATCTCAAAATAATGGTGCAGCGTAGATGCACCCTCTGTGTGTGAGAGACAGACTTTGTGATAGATCGTGTGTGGCACAGAGACTGGGTGAGTGTTTGTGACAGTGACTATGTGTGGCACAGACTGGGTATGTGTCACTAAGGATATTAAGAACTGTAATTTATTAATTATGTAGTCAACAAAAATTGTCGACTACATGATTAATCGGTAAGGGGTAGCACTGCTAACACTCAATCCTGGCTCCTGCTGGGTCTTGCAACTACCCCTGCTACACCTCTGCACTACAAGCACTAAGAGCCAGCACTGGGGTTGATGTCAGGCCAGCACGCCGGCTCTTAGTGCTTATAGTGCAGAGCCACGGCGGGGGTTGATGCCAGGTCCCGGCGCGCGAGATGGGTCTGAGACAGCCTGCCTACATGCTGGCTTTTAGTGTGAGGACCCAGCCATCAATCTCCATGCCAGCTGTCAGCCATCCGGCTAAAAAATGTACTTGGGAGAGGGTGAGGGAAGTGTAACGTGTAGTCAATAACATAGTCGACTACACTATCCCATCCCTAAGTGTGACAGTGACACAGAATGTGTGTGTTGGCTGCTGCTGGGTAAATTTCAGAGATAAGCTACGTACTGTTCTAAGACAGGGAAAGCTGTTCTGCTGTTATCTCTCCCCTCTCCCACTCTGTAGACATGGTGTGTGTGTGCGCACGTGTGAGAGTGCATGAGAGCATGAGCACTGAAATCTTAGAAACAGTACACTGCCTCTCAACATAGGCATTCCTTTGGATCACCATCCATGCTTCAGATTGGAACAACTCCTTTGCATGTCTCCCTCTTCCCAACCCCTGCTCTACAGATATGCGGTGCAGGGGAAAGGAGGGTACCCTGACGTAAGCACTCCTCTCTGCCCAGCTAGCAGGAGAATCTGTAGTAGGACAGAGCAAGGTAGAGGGAGGGGCAGCTGAACACATGCTGCCTGCTGTAAGTATTGTATGCTCTGCTAATCACCTTGCCAAGCTGGAGAGAAATGCTTGGAAAGCCAGATCTGGCCCACAGGCCCGATTTTGCCCACTCCTGTCCTAGAGAATATATGTGATAAACAGGTGTTCCATCTTCAACTATAGATAAATGAACATGATAATCCCTAAAGATTGAACAAAAATGATCTGTTAAGTTAATGTTAAATACTAGCTCCATATTATGGGCAAGTGGGATGGATTTAAAGCATTTCTTTTGAGCCACATGAATTTTACAAAAAAGCCTGACTCTGTTGTTTTTCTAGTCATGCTCTCATAGACCAGAATAAATAATACTGAAGTTCTTCATCAGACCATATGCAAGATGTAATCACAGTTAAACTGATTAAAGACTAAAGAGAATTCTAAAATGTTGAGGATTTTATTGAATATTCACACATTTTAAAACAAAATTTTAAACCATGTATTTCTTGTAAGATGTGCTATAAACAAACCTTCAATTGCAGCCTCACAAGTTAGTCTATTCAAACTGACTGAAGTCTGCTACATTTATCAGATGCCTTTTCATTACTCTTTTCCATTTTTGCAATCCGGGATCCAAACTGCATAGCCCTCTTTGGCAGAACAGTAGAGGCTTTGAGGCCAACCTCCTTAGCTGCAAGGCGCAAAAGTAGTTTCTCACCAATCCCTCGAGGTAGAGTTAAGTCTGCTTTTTCCGAAACAGGCAGAGAGTTAAGAAATGAAACAACATCTTCATCAAGGAAAGGAAATCTAAACAGAAAATAATCTTATGAAAAACTGTTTCCTTGACAAGGTTTACACACAAAACCAGATAAATGTTTAGTGCATGAAATAACTGGCTTTAGAATACTCAATTCACATTATACTGGTCTGTGGAAATATTGAACTTTCAAGCCAATATCCATTCCTAGAAGGAGATGCAACAACATAAATCTTGGGGCTAATGTGCTGTGAGAAAAGCAAATATTGTGGTGTCTTGGGGAAAATAAAGAAACAGCAATAAACATCTATAAGAAAATACATTTAAATTTGGCTGATTAGAAGTTTTAAAAATCTTCCCCAAGAAAAATATTTTGGAGCAAAAAGACAGAAATTCTGTTTTTATACACAGCTGTAGTCACCAGTCACCACCAAATTATGTGAGTGTGGAATTGTTTATCAGGAGAATGTTTTCTGGCAAGATTACGGGATCTCTACATGTTGAACTAGCCAGATCTAACATTAAACCTAGCATTAGCATACACCTCTGGTGTTGCATCCAATTTTAACCTCTCAAACAAAAAATACTTATTCTGACACCATTCGAAAGGTGGGGGGGGGGAGAAAATCTCACAAAAAGTTAAATAATTAATGCCCACTGTCAATAGTTAGCTTGTTAAAAGGATATTTTCTTCTTAAAGGTCCTTTTCACATGTATCACAAAATCATGATTGGTGCCCTAAGATCCCCTTTTACAGT